TCTTCCGTTCGTCATTTGTTTGCTGGCGCGCTGACTCAGACAGGGAAAATTAGTGGGAAGGTCAGGATCTACATAGAGCGAAGATTTGTTTCTACTGTGTGAGTGTGTTGGTATGATTGACAGTTCTGTGTTATGTGAGTTCTACAAAGAATGTGATGGTGTGAGATTTGGTTCTAGAAATACACGAACATCTTTTGCCAGTGAAGAAACACTCAAATATACGTAAGTAGATGTGAAATACTTTGTGCTATGAGACATTATCAGACCCAGTTTAATTCGTTTGAATTTAAAATCGTTGAAATGAGCCAAATATAGGACCGCCATTGAGGTCAATTTGTTTTACACCATGACAAGTAACCAGAAATGATTTGAGGCTGCAGTTCATTTTTTTTAAAAAATCTCGCATTTATGCTTATGTCGTGACGTCAGAGCTCGAATTGTGCAGATGGACAGATATAACCACCCCACAATGTATGCATTATTTGCACTTTCTTCCACATAACCACAAAATTGCCAGAATGTAAGTCAGTTTCAAATGAAAGGCAAGGATACAATTTTCTTCTGTGTCTAATCACAACTATGAGGGCGTATGGAGGACGTAAATATCCTCGCATTATTAACTGTGAAAGTAGATGACGGTGTGTGGTCAACATTACACTCTATCTGTCCCACCCCCAGAAAAGGAATCCAAGACTGGTCGTCCAGGTCTTAGCAAATCCATTTACCTGTTTGAGCTATCCGGTTTATATAATATTTTATTTAGCAATATAACGGCATGGCGTAGACTGTACCGGATGGTTTAATTTTGCTTTTTATAAATTTGAGGACGTGTTGTATGACCACAAATAAGTAAAGTGCGGATATATTGCATAGGGTATGAGACGAGATCGCATGAGAAGTGGAAGTCACGTCGAGAACCTGTGACCAAACATTTAAATGTTGGGCCATTGCCGTGGAGAAATAAAATTTCCATATTGTGGCCTGAAAAAAGTTTAAATTGTATTTTAATTTGTAGAACACGTCAAATTTATGTGGCGACATGTTACTGACACCAGTTACCAACTAGTTCATGTATTAAGACTAGTTAGTAGGCCTAAGCTCTGATACTTTGAAACCATAAAATTATTCACGCCAACAGCGAGCTTTTTTTATAGGCATGCCTACTTGTTTTTGTCAGTAAATAAGAAATACAGGACTTTTTATCACATGAGATCTCGGGGCAGGCCTATGGCCATTACAGCTGTCCTCACAAACATCCACTGTCCTCAGTCACGTGTTATTGATTCTTCGGTTACGTAACGATTTTGACTCAATTACAGTCGTTATTTTTCGCCGATTGAGATTCGGAGATTATGTGTGGTGAATAGGCAGGGACTTGGAAGGAGGCAGTCGCGTCCTGCTTTACAGTAATATTCTACGAAAACTGGGGAAAACCACGAAGAAAAAACCGGAACCCTCCGATTACAAATCCATAACGTTAATGCTACGCAAATCTGCTGGGCCATGTTGTCCTTCATCTGCTGTTTAGTTGTCAGCTGCACAAATGCCATGACATTCAGTTATGCCTGACTGATTTCCAATTTTGAAGGCTGTGGAGTAGGCGGGTGTGTATGTTACCAGGTTTTCACGGCGGCGAGTATGAACATTGCTGTCTTCTGGGATTTTGAGCTTTGTAGTTTTATATAAATTTACGGACGTTTTAGAGGTGTTTGGTGCCTCCATAATTAGGTCTTTTGCTTCATAAATATCAGTTTTGTACGAATCGATGCAATCTAAATGAAATTCGCCAGTGAATTTTTAATGTATACCCCATTAGCAAATTTAATCGAAATCCGTTTAGTGTTTTCGGAGACAGAACATGTTAACGGACAGACAGATAGACATCACCTTTTCGTTATGAATTACTTTTGTGCACTTGCTGCAAAGAACATAAACATAGTTTATAGGTCTACTGTAGACCAATTACGAGTGGTTGCCTTAATGATGGCAGCCAGAATTGGGTAGAGAAAGCAAATATCGAGAGCAGCTTTTTGTCAGAGGTGCTGGTAGCAATTATAAGGGAAAAAGCGAACCGGTGTTGTGCACGATGTGGGTCATCGGAATGACTGATTATTCGTCACCCTGCGAAGATTGTCACCAGTTGTGATTATGTAAAGGTGCGGTTTACAAATGAAATAGGATAGTCTGAGGCAAAACATGTGATCATAATATTCATCTTGCCTAATCGTTCATATCTGTGTCGAATTCTCTTCTATTTTCTTGATATTTTATTTTGTATTTTTCTGTACATCCTGGAACTGCTCATAAATATTTTATTCCTGCAGTTTCAGTTTTATTGATCTGGGAAATATCGCTGTAGTGAATGTTTATCAACGTAAGCTAAAGTACTTTTATGTAATTCTTATCTACGTGAACTCAACTGTAATTTTGTTGAGATAATCTCAAAAAGTGTTTATGCCGGAAATGTAAAGAGGTTGTTTCACTTGTAAAAACTAATTAACATTGAAATGGCGTTACAGTTTTCCATACAATTCTTCGATGTAAAATTAAATCGAAACATGTCTGTTCTTTCTCGAGTTGTTTCGTCCTTATGGACAGATGGACTCGGCGATTTGAATACGTTCTCCGCACGAAGAGCACAATGATGTTCAGGTAACAACCTCGGAGTTGCAGTTACGAGTGAATGTCCGGCAAAGTGTATTAGACCATATAATTATGTAGAGTATATTTGTTATGGCACAATAGACACACCGAAAAAACTATCATTAGAATAACAATAGCGGAGGCTACCGTGTCCTGCCTGTGGTTTGCGTGTTCTACGGCCCCTACACAACCTCTCAAATATACAGTCTGCATAAAAACTTTAGCTGAAACCAATCTTCTTACAATTTTACACAATTTTCTCTTTCATAACAATGATGGTGGACTATTGTTTTATTGCATATGTTAGTTAGTCTAGTGTTCACACTGTTATTAATCAACAATAGGGATGCTGGATTATCATTCCTCGTGTTGCTTTAAATATACCCTCTATGGAAGAAGTTTCGAATTACTTTTAGATCTTAAACTAAGCTATGTTTGAGATGGTAAAGTTGCGTCATATTGTGATATAATAAATATTATTTAAATCTTGTCCGTCTAATCACAATAAAGTCTTATTAAATATTAAAATATTACAATAATTAACATTTAAAATATCGAATATGTTATTAAAATGGAATAAAATCTGGAAAAGAACATCGTTTGATATCTGATAAACATCTGAAAAAATGTACGCTAAAATTATATATAGAAATTGTATTTAAGACATTGTATTTAAGTTATTATTGATTTGAATCTTTATATAATTATATACATCTGAAGATAGTTCTTTTAGGAACTGAAACATGTCGTGAAAAATGATGTTCTAATGTAAATCGAATATTTCGATAAAGAACATCATTTAATATTTTAAATATTTTAAATGTTAATTATTGTAATATTTTAATATTTAATAAGTATTTATTGTGATTAGACGGACAAGATTTAAATAATATTTAAGCTATGTTTGTTCCGAGACCAGCCAAGCGCTGGATGAGAGATGAAGCCCTCGAAACGAGGGTGTACTAATGTGATGCTGCTGATGGCTATCGCACACCTCATGTGTTGGAGCGATGATAGAATGGTGATCTGAATGGGAAAGCCGAAGTTCTCTGGAGAAAAAATGTGCATTAGTGCCGCTTCTACCATGAATCTCACTTGACGTCACTCTGGACTGAAGTAGGGTCTTCGCGGTGAGAAGCTATCGACTAGCAGTATGAGCTATGGCACGATCTCCTGGACTTATTCGTGCAACATTTTTGTATTTCATATTTTGATTAACTGAGCGACTATTAGCTTCTGAAGGCGGAAACTACTCCGTGAAGTACTTTGTTTTATGTGATGAGCCATGAGTCAATCGGTATGCTGAAAAGAGTTTCATACTAAGTAAGTTTAATGAAGTCATTATTATAGGCGAATGTAGGTAAAAGATTAAAGCCATGTTTATTGCGTGTTGATATCATTTCTGAAATAAAATAAAATTGTCTTCACTCTTTGACTTTTCCTCAAAATTTGAGATTTTAAAACATATTTAATTATGGTTTATTTGTCAGTAGTTGCGACTACATAGGATCGGATGATTAAACAATGAATTGAAAAAGATATGGAAGGAGGCAGTCGTGACCTAATTTAAAGTAATGTGACGGCACTTGCCTGGAGGGACTGAGGAATATGAAGGAAACCGTCACTTATTATGGCCAGTCTTCTGGACCGATGTTTGAAATTGGAACCTCGCGATTAGGAAGGAAGCAGAAGAGGGTTCTTGCACGGAAGTGACATAAAGGCAGGTCCCAATATGATCGTGTCTTCTGTGTTCGCGAGTATCAGTTCCGAGAAAGTGTTTAATGATCCAGGTGCTTGTATAATGGAACACGTAATGAATGAAGTCTTGAAACGCAATGCAATTCCGAGAATAACACTGATTATGTCACTTCACAAATGTCAGACACATGTATTGGTTTTTATGCTGATATCGAGAAAGTACTTCCGTTAGAACCCATGTTTATTTTATTTTTCTTGTTTTCACGGGTTTGACTGCCTCAGAATTATGTTTCCAGTGTTTCCTTGGCCTTTCTTGACAATTTGCCCTATAGGTTTATAATTCCTTTCTAACTACGGCAAACTGAATTGGCCCTCGAGTAGGGGGACGGAGGTAAATCTCGAATTTTCAATCTTGGCACTAGATGAAAGTGTGGTCAGCTTTACGCTCCGACCGATTTACTGCATAGGAACCTGTCTGGACGCGATGGCGAAGAGAACATTTCCTGAAGTTTCGGGAATCGAACCCTGATCGTCTAGCCCATAGCCAGTCACTTCACTGTCTCAGTTATCATTACTTTTATTAAAGCGCGCTTAAACAGTGACAAAATGACCATTTCACTTTACGTGACGTGCAGGAGAGATATTGTATGTCATTAGTGGAACATCCCATCACATCAACACTGTTTCTCTTTAATGGATGTCGCCGTGGTGTATAGGAGTGAGTGGCTATCGGATGACTAGAGCGTTGAAACGTACGTCAGATATGAGCTGTTACTCAGCGTAGAACAGAACTGCTATATTTACGATAAATTTCATTCGTGAAGTAAGGTAAAGAGTGAAGTTGTTCCGTGTCTAAGAACTGTTGGCCAAGAAGGCGTGTGGATTGGACGTAAAACCCCATACGTTTTAAACTCGGCAATGAAAATGAGTGATCAGTTTCACTGCCCAGTCGCTTTATCCCGGGAAAAGGTACGTCAGCTCATGTTGGATGAAAGGATGGGCATTTTGGAGGGGAGATTAATTAATTAATTAGTCTTAAGAACATTTTGCAACATGTATCTGTGATTAATTTTACACAACGAAGCGTTGGATTCATATTATAATCTAAAAGCTACTGGGAAAAATTAATTTTTTTAAACTCTGGAATTTGTCAGGAAATTTCCGCCTTTAATTTCGGCCGGGATGTAGGCCATCCTGGCTGAGATTTCTTTAGATTTTTCTCAGTCCCTTCAGGTAGAGCTTTAGTAGGCTGCGAATGCTGCCTTCCACGTCATTCTGAATTTCCCTCTCATTCGCTACTATGACACCTGCGTTGTCAGATTCACAAAGAAAGTCATTGGTTTACAGTACATAATTTGGGCTAACATATGTAAAATTCTTCTATATCTCGAGGCTACATTTTTCTTTCAGCAGTGGACTCTTACTTGCCTTATCATGAACACCTTGCATCTACGAGTAAACAGTCCCAGTGGTTTATTCTGCCGAGGTTTCAAATCTAAAATTTTGTATGCATTTCTTGTTATATCCACGCGTATTGATGTAGAGTATGCAAGCTACAAGAAAATTGGCATTCCACCGCTCCCAACCACCACTTGTTTCAGGTCGTGACGTCAGAACCGCCGTAACTACGTAACGATGGTGCTGTCTGGACATCGTGATGCCTACTACAATGCCTTCAGTGACGTCACATCCGGAGTCTGACCAAAACCGGACGTGGACAATCAACCGGAAGCAGCTAAGGGCCGTCTTCGCTCTCTGCGACCCTGAAGGTACTGGGTTTGTGTCTCTGGAACACATTCTACAGCTGGGACGCGCACACTGCAGCGGAAGTGACTCCAAGGTACGTGCTTAAAGGCAGGGCTGTGGAGTCGGTACTAAAATCTCCGACTCCGGCTTCGACTCCGACTCCAACTCCGACTCCGACCCCGACTCCTTCATAATAACTCAATATATATTAATAAGGGTAAACATACTAAAATGGCAAATGGAACCATAAGAGATTTCATCACCACCATGTGAACCATCAGCCTACTTTTTAGACTTATAACCTATATTTAAATATACGTCTAATGGTTATTGCAGAAATCGTTTGATTTGTAGACAGTCTTAAGTTACCGGAGCCAAAGTTACAAAGCATTATTCCCACACCATGGCTCAACGCGTCGTTCAGTCTCCCTAAGCTTGAGGCCGCCGTCGGCTCAGAGGGTTTAGAAATTGTTCTTAAAATTTTATGTCGAGGTCGGAGCCGGTTCATTTTTACCGACTCCGACTCCACCTAAAATTTCTTCCGACTCCGACTCCATAGCCCTGGCTAAAGGAGAGGGTGATGTGGGAGAAAGGGTCAGCTTCTGTTCCACTTTCAGTAGCAAGAAGTTCTGGGAAGAGTTTATGATGCTCGGTAAAATGAATAATATTTATGTATAGGATATCTTCAAAAACCTGCGTCCCGCTCCACGAGTTTGTGGTATCAAGAAACATGTGACAGCAATTTCTTTGACAGTTATTTGGATCTACGCAGTAACAGATTGAAGAGTTGTTGTGTGATTGAGGAATTGGGAGGGTCTGATATTGGCCTATTTCAAGTACTGTCTTAACATTTCCTTAAAGAGACTGAAGAAAACCATGAGGAACCTCAGTCAGTGTAGCTGGCCTCTGGCTACGATGGTTGAAGCTCAAATCTCAAAACACAATACAGGATTTCCCTCTCGTTTCGTCTCGTCTCGTCTTGGCAACGTGAAACAGGTGTGCAGGGTGACGTGAGCATGTTGTCTGATGGTGTGGGCGTACCTAGGGAACTGGGCCAAGACACAATTAAGCAATAATTTTGAGCCACCAAACCGAATCTTCGGCTGTAAACCGACAGTAGGGAGAGGAAGAATATCCAACAGGGTGTTTAGAAAACTTTTCATCATCAAAACTTCATTATTTCTGTAATATATGCTTGTTTATTTAATTTAACGGTGATTTCCGAGCTGTGTTGTAAACATAGGCATTCTCTTCAGTGGGAAGATGATAGTAAATGGCAAATTCAGTATGAAGTGGTTGTTGATTTGGACGTGGTATTCTCTTATCACCCGTCACCTTTGTTATTTTTGTTCTTCGTCTTTTTAGGGCTTCGTTTTAGTACACGGGTAAGAGTTCCTCTGAATGTTTAATTGTAGGTAGCATGAAGTAGAAACGAAGCAGCTTATCAAATGCAATTACCAGCTGTAGATCTACTTCGCATTGCATACCTGACTTCCTGCGATTACTAAACAGGACGCGTAGTTTCCGTTGTGTTAAACAATGTCATTGGTAGATCATCACGCGAACAGTTGTTTTAATGGTAGGATTGGAGTAAGACTCCGGACTCAAGCGGGTCATTTGTATCACTCCCAAACAGTGGTGACGACGATGGTGATTGACAGGCTGAAGAACTCTGAGAAAAAAAAACTCCAGTTTGTTCACAAATCCAACGTAGACTCACACTGGTCTGAACCCGGGTCTCCGCTATGGCAAACCGGCGAATAATAACCAGAACTGTGTGGTTTGACACTGAAATGCACGCTTTTCTGGCTATCAGAAGACAATTTCCACAGCAGCCAACATCCTCTCTCTACGGTAGTAGGTTTAAAACTTTTACGTCTCGCTCTCCAGTTTTGACGTAAAACCTTCTCACTATTTTCCGTCTCCTAGGTGTAGTATTTCATAATTTTAAGGGATTTTGACAAAAATATTACCCGTTTCGTTTATTTATTTAAATGTGCTGAATTCGAATTTTGTATTGAATAATCCTGTGTTATAACTGAGTTGCATAATACAGAAAAATGAAGATAAAGCAAGCAGATGGCTGCCTTGTCGAATGTTGCGCTTTGTAGTCTGGTAGACGATGAGTCAGGACCCTAAAAAGATGAAGGAATTAATTTACTCTGAAACGTCGGCTAACCTTTAAAGGATTACCGTGTCCTTTCAGATACGGAAGTGGAAAATCGAGCTGGTCCGCTGTGGAGTTCAAGTCACGACATGCATTACATCATGTAACATGGTTTTATGGCGGTCGCTTGGGTTCCAGTCCAAGAAAATGAAGTCAGTGAATTGTAGATGGATAACCGTACGACCGTCATAAATTATTTTGTCGTTAGAGTTCCTTGCTTCTCCCTTATAAACATTTTCACACAGCCTTCAACAACAACTAACAGCGTAAATGTTTAGGTGGGAAAGACCTCATGGTCTTGTATTCCGTTCCGTAACTTTCATCTACAGTGCTGAGTACAGATTGTCAATAATTTTGATCACTTAGTGTCTGCCAGACTACGCGATGTAACATCTACATACTCGAAGATTCTGTCTTCTGGGTTGTTGCGCTGTGTCTTCTGATCGATGTTTACGAAAGTTTCAGAGGTCATTCTGCCTCCATCAACAGGGCGATGAATCGCAACAACCCAGAAAACAGAAATATTCATACTCACCGCTGTGAAAACCTCAAATCTTACATCTACATACTCGTTGCCGCCAGAACCTAAACTCTTACCTCTAAAAAGGCAAATTTAATACGGTAAGAATGTCGAGAACAGTAATGATAATAGTAACAAGTAAAAATAAAATATCCAAATCAGTATTCTTGCTGTCATTTGAATTCATTCCAATAATTTTAACAATTCTTTTTTAAAAAAAATACAAATTAAATACGTTCCTCCCGTGTCTCTCAGAATGTATGCCTTGTGTTTTCTTTGAATAAGTGTAACCTATCTTCCTTAATCTCCGCAAATGTAATTTAAACTTTTATTATATCCGGATCTTCTTGAAGGCGAAACAGCGGAAATTTTTCTTTGCTGTTACACATTTTGCACGTTAACACTCGTCATGAAAGTTGTTTAAAGAACTCTTCTTCTGTTACTTTTGTTTCCTTGTTAACCTTTGATTCCGACGACTAATTCCTGTTACTGGAAAGGTACGAATAGTTTGGCTGTTACGAAATTGCGGGGCTTCTTTATCTCTTCTAAACTAGAGCGTCAAACATTAAGTGCTCACTTGTGTGTAGGAGCGCTGCGTCAGTTTTCCTGTGACTCTGTTCAGAATGTGAATTCAAGATAAGAATCAGGTCGTATATGCGAAACGTTGAACCTGGTACTTAAACGAAGGGGTGTGGAAAGATCCAGGGACGGTGTGGGTTGCCAGTGGTAACGCAACAACAAACCGAATCAGGAGGCCGTTGACCGGCCATCAGGTCGGACGTAAGCCGCTGACTATTGTAATAACAGGCCTTTCACTGATCGATACTCGAACAGTTGTTTGAAGCCGAAAGTAATCTAAATTGTATTTGAGAATTCAGTCCGTGCTGCAAAAATAATGCGAAGATCAACTGGTTAATGCAGTTTAAGAAGTAATCCCTGTTTACGGTGTCTAACATACAAAACCCATAAACTGAAAACGAAGTTTTTGTTTGTTTAAACACGCGGGACGTCTCGTTACCATTGGGCTTTAAAGGGTTAAGAAGCCGCTCCACAGCGTATGTATGCCTTTCCATTCTTGTTACTTTATTTCTTCATTTTCTTGCTTCTCGTCCTTTGCGGAAGTGTACAGAAGGGTTACTGTGCAGGATGTGGAGAGAGTGCTGCGTCAACTGGACCCGGAGCGCAGGGGCGTGCTCGGTTACCCGGATTTCTGTCGAGGCGTTTTCTCGATACTCCGGCCACAGCATCAGCAGCGAAGACATGGTAAGCCGCCTTACCAGTATTATAGTACAGTATTCCGACCGTCCAGTCATCCGCTGAGAGATTGGGCTAGTTTTGCAATATCTTGCAGTGTACCTTCATGCAGAGGAATATGATCGGTTGACACCGCATCTTGGTATCTAGCTGTCGTAATTACGCATTGAGCGACTTGTCCTCTGATACTGTAACCTAACCTTTAACTCAGTTCCTGGATGTAGGCTATGTATCACCTTACAAAAGTCATACAGTTCCATACTCTTTCTTGTTCGAACATAGAACAGTGGGCATGCCTTTCTGTGGAAATACTTTTGATGTAACCTCTTATCACATGTTATAGCCTTGGTGAATATTTTAGTGGATGAGGAATAGATTTGTGTGTTCCAAATCTTGCGCCACAAACGTAATGCGGTGATAAAAACGAGAAATGACCAACAAAGTAGAAGGTAATAAAAATGGCGATAACATTATTATTAACTAATTACATATATCAGAGTAACTCTTGATAAGCGAATAGTCGCTATGCTAGTTAGTAACTTCCTTGTCTTTTACGGAAACAGAAGGTTTATTATCGTGTTCACAACAGTCGTTTCCCATCACACTTTTTGTTTGATATCCTTTTTAATATTGTCCCGTGCTCAGGTTTTTCACTTGGTCTCAACCCAACAGGTTTTTTGACCAAATATTGTACACATTTATCATGCACGCTACATGCCCGTAGTGCACTAATTTGTGCGTACAGAAAGGCGCAAGAAGTGATGGACAGCCGTGGAAGTGTAAGGAGAAGGGAGACTGTGAGATCCGGTTATGAGAAGTGATTCGAAAATTGCACTTGGCCATGAAGCGAAGACCCGAGATAAGAAAAGGAAGATATTCAGCATTAATCTCTGCTTCTTTGTTTACGTGACAAGATTGTTATTCGCTACGCAACAATACGGTGGGATACAGAGATGTGGAAGCTTCGTGATGATTGCCATCTCATGGAAGTGCAGTGGTCCGCCCTCTACTTAATACAAACGTATGGGAAAGTGTATACTTTTTATTATGGGATTTAAAGATATCCGAGCTCTTATATGACTTGCTCACACGAATATTTTGCTGTCTCTCCTTCTGTCTTGTGGGAAACAAAGCAAGGTCGGGCAGTATCTAGTAACGAGGTTACCTTCACGCCAAATTTGAGCTAACAAAGCTCGTTTAATATTACCACCATGCAACAGGGCAGTGATCCCATACATCGACAAGGTGAAATCACTACAAGCGTTCGGAATTCCAGTCGGTGGAGCACACAGTTTGTTATCGTATGTGGGTTTTTAAATCAATTACAGCTGAACGTTGCCAGGAATTGATTATATGAATTTATTCTCAGCGCTTTAGTGTAGGTAACCACTGGCCTATGTCAGAGTATAACACTGTCTGTTCGTCATGAATATATTGTGCTTGTATTTTGGAGTAAAGCTCATAGAGCATGGATGACTGCTGGGTAGGCATCACATAGTACAAACTAAGTAGGTTGGGTTGCGGTGCTGTAGGCGTGCTTGGTACTCCGTGTGCAGTTCGCTTCGCTCTGTGACGTAGGGGCGGTGGAAGTGGTGGAGGTGGTGGGGGGGGGGGGGGGGGAGAGGGTCAGCGACCGGTTGCATGCGCCCCGTGTTTAGTCTCACATATTTGTTGTGTAAGGAAAGGTAGGCCAGTGTGGTTTTCTCTCTCCCCACAATAACTTTGACCGTCGGATGATTTGAAGATTTCTGTCTTCTGGGATGCTACGCCGTATACTTTCCGTATACGTAGC